AGCGAGCGGCTCCGCGCGGCTGAGTCCCGGCACCGCGAGGTGGAGCCAGCCGCCCGGCGGAGCCCGGCACCGGGATGCAGCAGCGGGTTCGGAAAGTTTAGGGGAAGGGAAGGATTGCAGACTGTGGCCTCGGATAYCCGGACAGGTCTCAGCTCCAGACCGGGTTCCTGCAGGCTTCCGAGGTGCGTATCCATGGAGAGCCTGGGCTGYGGCAGAGCTGCCACGCTGCCTGCGCAGTGACTGCTCAGCCACTGCAGGAGTGCCAGGCCAGGCAACTGCAGCTGTCCCCGCAATACAGACCCCAGCTAAACGTAAAGCTTGGACAAGCTGTGCTTGTTTTTCTTATCTCAAACTTAGTCACGTCCAGACTGTGTTTATACACGTGGTTCAAAGAGCTCTCTGTGACATGCAGAGGTGAAAATAGAGCCCGCTTCTGCCATGTCCTGTTGCTGCTGTTTCCTTTTGCCTCATTTTACTCTATGCCATTTTCAACTTTGTTTTTAATAACAACTTGTTTCTGTGCTGCTGTACCTGCCTTAGGCTTTCCCTATAACCTGCAGCCTGTGATCCTTTTTGCTGCTTCCTTRCTCAGCTGGGAGCTGTGTGTTTAGAAGATGAAGGTGTTTGAAAGGAGTTAAAGACTTTTTATTAAGCCTAATTCAAAGGAGATGTGAAGTGTTGTTTCATACTGTACTGACTGCTTGGGTGTACGCAGAAGTCTTATATAAGTACCTTGAAGCTTTTTATTGCTCAGACTTTAAACAGTTAAAATCTGTTCTTGAGGTGTTCTCAGTTCTTTGGTAGCTGTTGATACTTTGGTAGCTGTCGATAGAGAAAATATTTTATTTTATTCCAAAACTCTAACAACATAAAAGCTTTAGTGTGACTGGAAAAAAATCCCTTCAGTTTATTTTTTAAATCTGTATCTGGCAATCCTGAAACCTGGACATGCCGGGAGCGGCAAGGCCAGCGCCTCTGGGCGGCCCTTGCTCTGGAAGCTCCCTGCCTCCTGTCTGAAAGGGCTTCCTAAAACCCCCATGTGCCACAACTAGTACTGGGTGCCCCATAGCTGAGGGAATCCAGGCCCTACTCTCCTGGCTTAATGGGCCTGGACTGTAAAACTGACGCTGGAATGGGACATATTACTTGCTGCTCTCCGTATAACACATGTATTTCCAGAATCAAGATTAGTTTTGTGTGAAGCTATATCACTAAAGGAAACAAGTACATGTTTTCTCTTATTTCTCTAAAAAGCTTGCACTTTCTGTTTACATTTCCAATCCAAACTTAATCACCGTTTGCTTTTTAAGAAGATAACTGCCTGACAGCTGCAAAATAACACTAAATATGCATAGAATCCCCTGTTTTTCCTAGTATTAATTACTGTTCTGAATGGTTTACTGGTTCAGGTCATCCTACGGGGAGTTGCCAAGTGTTCTCAAGAACATGGGAGCACCCTGAAGATCTCATCCTGCTGGGTTTTCCCTTGGGCAGCACCTGCCTTGTCAGCTGGTTGTCCATATTTCACTGCTGGCCTTACTGCRCTTGCATGGTAGGAGCTGGGAAGCAAATGGAGGCCTGATGGATGCAAACTGGAGTGAGAAGCAGGACGAGTTTGGAGGACCAAGAACTCGCCCTCTGCCCTGGAGGGACCCATCTGCCCGCAGGGCCCCAGCACCTTACTGGCCTCCTGGAATGCCCTGGAATGGACAAGCTGCCRTAGGACCTTGCTCTGCTCTGGAAGGGACCTTCTTCCTATGTGAGCTTCAGGAAAGGGGCTGAGAAAGAAACTGAAGCAGCTGAGCTGCTGCTCTGCCCGTGTGTTGAGTGACCAAAGAAAGTGAGGAAAGGCTGTTCTTGGGGCGTGTAGGGAGATGGGGGGCCGTGTGATGCCCCCCCTGAGGGCACAGGGCTGGGGCCTGGGCTTGGCCACCCCACGAGGAGCGGGTGCTTGGGTGGCTCCTGGCAGGAGGAAACCACTGGTGGGTGACTGAAAGTTGGGCCCGAATGCTCCATAGCAGCTCGATGGTTGCACTGCAGCTTCTGATGGAAAAGATAGCTTTACGTTGGGCAGAAGGGTGTTTTAAATAATGTTTGATGAGCATTTCTACATTTTAACGTTTCATTTCTGAAGCCAAATATGTCTGTTAGACACAGTAGCTTGTTCTTCTAAATGTTGCTGGAGAAAAACTGTTTCTTTGAAGAGTGGAGCGTGAGAAACCCATGAGTACTTGACGGGGCGCAGAATCTGTACGCAGATAAATTTGTGCATAAACAGAGATCCCGACTTCGTGCACAACTGGGCTCTGTGGTTTCTTAAATCAGTCACTCTGTTCACCCCAGCTGATTTGGGGGGGTTGCAGGCTGAATTAAAGCTGATCCTAAGGTAAATACTTGTGATGAGCAGAAGTTGCTCCTAGTTTGCACGTTAGCAGAGTGGTCCCCTTTAGACGTAGGCTGGTTTATTAAGTATTCAGCCAGTGGCTTGTGCCTGCAGAGAAGAAATATTATGCTGTAGCTTCTCTGCCTACTGGCTTTCTGTACTCATAATTGACTTGTATGAATTAATGCAGCTTTTTCTTTAAAGCKTTTAATATTGCACACTGCCATTAACCTGAAATAACTAGAAAGATTGCTTGTAAACATTATTTTTATCTGGCCTCAGGTTTGTCAATGTTATTCTACTGCTTCATTTGCTTCTTTATTGCTGAAGTGTATTTAATTTCCCCAAGTTATTTCAGAACTAAGTGCAAATTAATGACATTTGGGCTCCCAAGAAAATAAACTCTTCCTTTCCAGATGAGTAACAACTAGTTCACAGGTGATGTTACCATCACTGTTTTTAAGAGAACTTTAAGCCAAAATACTAAATTACAAAGTGAATTGTCCCTTATCATTTAAGGTAGACTTAAATACCATGTAGGGGAAAAATATGGACAGCACATAGATACTACACATCCCTGTAGTAACCTCACTGACCCTGGCTTTCCTTTCAAAGCTGCATCCCTGCCTTTACAGGATGGAGAAGAGCTGGATGGGCTTCCAGGCGAGCCCTGTCTTGCCTTCCTGTTGTGCTGCTGGGCTCTTTGGGCTGCAGTGAGCGGCTGTGCAGGCTGAGGAGTTTCATCTTCGGCGCTCGAGGGGTGGCCTTAAGCTGGGTTCCTCTTCCCTGACTTGTCCTGCTTTAGCTGAAAGGCCGCTGTGTTCACACAGGTGACCCCAAAAGCTCCAGCCTTCAGCACTAAAAATGCTGTGAATAGGAAAAYGGGATATTTCTCTACTATAGATCTGCAAAAAATAAAAATAAGAAAAACATTCTGGATTTTGTGGGAGGGAAAAAAGGTCATTGAAGTGGGACCAGCTTCTAACCTGGTTAAGACGTGTAGTAAACRGCTAGACTGCCAGGGCTTGTACCATATTTGTGGGACTGGGTAGGTTGGTAGTTGTTGCTGKTTTTTTGGTTTTGCCTTGTTTTTTCTCCATAGAAGTGCAGTTTCTGACATAACGTGTTGCCTTTCAGCGAGGGCCTGCCAGAGCTCTCCATCTCTGCAGTCTGATTTTTCAGCTGTAGCACCTGGTCCTGACGCTGCCGGGCGCCTTCGCTGCCCGGGAGGGTCGAGCAGCAGTTGTTGGGAGGGGATTCCTGAGCCTTTGAGATGATCAACTAGAAAAGTAAAAGCAAAAGGTCTCCCCACATTAGATCCTGTATTTCTCTTGGTAAGGGAAAGGCTCCTTCTCACCTGCTACTCATCCTGGAATAGCATTCAAATGAATAGAGGCCAACTGGAAGGGTTTCTCTCGTTACTTATTAATCAGATTCCTGTTTGGACTTCAAAACACAGCTATATGAGAAGCTAGAAGGTCTACCTGCAAGTCTGAGACTCTTTAAATGTGACCTAAAAACCTAATCTTAGCTTCTTTCTAGTGCTTTAGATGAACTGAATTGGCACCTAGGAGTTGTGCTAAGGATCAGGAGGAGGCAGAAATTATTTTCAAGGCCCCACAAAAATGTTTGTATGATATTTTAGTTCTCTTTTGCTGTTGCATTGGTAGATTAGACCTGCATCTATCAAATGCATCTCTCACATTTGCTCAAAACACTCCCCGTCTCTTCTGCGTGCTTTGCTGCTGCTCACGTTAATATTTTACAGCTCCATGCGTTAAGTGCTCAGTGCTTGGACCTASGTAGATGTTAGAGCAGCGCCCTTGGCTTGGCTGGTGCTCGGAGCGGGAGCAGAGCAGCGTGAGGAGGACGTTGCACGGGCGGCCACGCGGTAGCTTGGAGCCGGTCGCCGAGTGCCACCGTGGGGGCCGGCCTGTATCTCACCAGGCCGGTGCTGCCGTAGGGCCCGCGGATCCCTCCGAGTCCTCGGACAGAATTCCCTGGGCTGCGAGTGGAGGGTCACGCTGTGTTTTGGGAATAAAGACGCTTGAAAATACTCTTACTTTGCTGCATCCGTAATCCAGGATATTTTAGTACTTTGCTTTACAGATTACTTTGCAAGGCCTTCCTAAGGATCTGGCTACTGTGATGGCTGTGTGTGCATAAGTCTAAAGGATTTGTTAGGTTAATACAAGATTGCACAGCATTTTCTTTCAAGGTATATACAGATGTATGTCTTGTAAAGCTTTTAATAGCAGAGAAGGAGGTAACTTCTCCTGGGTTCTGTTGCCATTTGCTTCTGAATCGGAGACATAAGGCTCAGTGAAAGAGCAAGACCTGGTTGCTGCTAGTAAGCTAACTCTTTTCTTGGGCTTCCTGGCTTGATCTGGCTAACCCAGATATTTTTGTGCCATCAGTTAGAAACAGAAACCAAAAATAAAATGGGTGATGATGGAGATTGTTAGCAGTGATTCGCTCGGTTAGAAAAATACCCGTCAGTTCTTATTCACAGCTGCGTATTCCTGCTGTCAATGTAATTATCTCGATAAAAAAAGCTTCCCAGTACATGGAATTTTGAAAATATAACTGATTCATTTCTCCATTCCCCTTAGGTCCAAGATGGGCCTCCTGGAACACCGGTGTTTTTATTTGCATCAGATGTGCTGGAATACATCGAAATCTTGGAGTCCATATATCAAGGGTCAAATCCGTCAACCTGGACCAATGGACACCAGAGCAAATACAGGTAGAGTATCTTAAAATWCATTTTCAAATTGCAGGGATGTGCTTAGCAAGCTGCCTTGGCCAAGCTAGTGAGAGAAAAGCATCTGCTTCTACTTGCTTGGTAATTGGAAAGAATAAAATGATACTTAAAAAAAGTTTGAGGTTAATTGCTTTAAGTTGAAGTGACTTGATCAGTTTATGGAGATGTTAATCAACTTACTCCTTTTGTGTTTTGGATATTCCTCTGAAATGCATTTTCCAGTGTCATAATGATTAACCTGCCCATGCAGTTGTTGACTAGCCGTATGAAGTCTGTTGTATTTGAGCAACTATTTTAAAATGGTAGCATCTTTATGGCAATATTTTTAAGCGCTTTATAGTGCTAASAACCTCATTGTTACTGTTTCAGTTATAAATGGCTACATCAGAGGTGTTCCACTTGAGCCCCTGGTCATGTAGTGCATGCAGATTTTCTGCCACCTTTATTTGTACCTCTGCTTTGTGCTGGGAAGCCTCAGGAGCCGGGGACTGAAGCATGAGCTGCCCCCTCGTCTCTTTATTTGTCTTTGTGCCCCTGCTCCAGTCCAAAATAACAGAAGTTTCATTTTTATGTTATCATTAACTGGCCATAAGAGTTTTTCCTGACGACTGTGAGGAGTCTTGAGCTGCAGGGGAATTGCTTTGGTGGATTTATCRATGGTATTTATAGTGTCTGACTAATAGGGATTTAATGCCCTTTCTTGCAAGGTCTTGCAAGCTGCAGGACAAAATCCACATAGATTTGATGTGCACAATATGTCCTGTGATCTCCAAAGTGGAGGGACCAAGAAATTTCAGGAGGCAACTCCTCCTGACAGAGAGCAGCCCAGCACATCTTGTTACAGGAAAAGCGTAGTGTTGAAGAGCAGTTCATATGATAACTGAAGCAGTGAAAATGAAGTGTCGAAACATCTGGCTTCTACCTCCCACAGCAGACTAAAGTGAGCAGTATTTGGTTGAGGGTGCTGTGGCATGATGTCAAAAGCATGTGTGATATTCATCAAGAGCTGTGTGATGTGGTGTGTTGGGCTCTGGTGAGACAACAGAAATGACCACAAACAGAAGCATCAAAAGCACAAAAATTTCTTAACAGTGATGGTGCCAGAGCCCTGGCACAGGCTGCCCAGGGAGGCTGTGGAGTCTCCTTCTCTGGAGATCTTCCCAACCCGTCCGGATGCTGCCCTGTGCCCCGTGCTCTGGGTGTCCCTGCTGGAGCAGGAGGGTTGGACTGGATGATCTCCAGAGGCCCCTTCTAACCTTAAGAGCCCTGTAGCACTCTTTCAGTTGAGGAGAATGTATTTAAATTCCAAGGACAGAGAGGTGTTTGTTCTCGTCAGATACATATGGAAAAGTTTCAAGCGCTTCCTGCTTGAAGAGGCTGAAGCAGCYGAACAAACTGGTGACAATGCAGGCTGTATTTGGGAAACCTGGAGCTGATTCCAGTGTTAAGAGCTCTTGTACAGTACAATAACTTCAATAACTTCCTGATGAATGTGATAGTTGCCCTGTAGAGGTGGAGATTTGAATTAACCCGTCCTTGCTGGAAGAACCAGTTTCCACCTCCTGAGTGGAGCGGAGCAGGAGCTGATCCTGATTGCAGCTCCCCCTTGTGTGAACTGCAGCTCTTTAATATTTCTACCAAATGCCAGGAATCCTATGAAAGGACTTGTATCTACTAGAATGCCCCAACTTAAATGTTTTACAGTGGATGCGTCTAGTAGGGGAAGGTACACCCCTACTAGAGCACACCCATGTGCCTGGAGTGCTTTGGTTTTCCCACACTTTTCCTGGTGTGTCAGCTGCTGACCCTTCCAGGGATGCACCAATTTGAAGCCGGCTCGTTGCTTTCGGCCATTTCTTCTTGACATCAGTCATTCTGGGATTTTGGACTTGCTGGGGCCTTGTTTCTCCGTGAAGTCAGGTCCTGAACACAGTGAAAGCTCTTTGCTCTCATACGGGTCCTTCCTGCTGTTGTTTGCAGCATTAATACTGCATAGGGGTCATCTGGACTTCATTTTWGCAATGCCCAGAGGTTGTCTTATGGTTGGAAGTTGCTCTTGGTCAGAGGAGTCATCCTAAGCTGTAGGGCAGCTTAGAGCTCTCTTCATGCCTTATGTTGCTCTAGATCTTGGCTGTAATTTCACGTAGCGGCTGCCCTCCATTTCTCAGTGGGAATAATGAACAGGGCTCCTGTCTTRGACTTGTTAGAGTGGACCTTGACAGAGGACATGTCATCTTTGTCCCCAAGAAAGGAAGATGTTCTTGGCATCTTCGTAACTTTGGGATGCTGTTTGGATTGCTGCTCGGGAGTGGAACAGTTCTTTGGCAGTTGCCCTCTGTGTGCAGGGGTATTTTCCAAGAAAGGCTCTTTTGCTGGAGCTGTATTTGGGAGTACCTGGGAGTTGCTCCGAGGCGGTTGTGCATGGAGGCAGCGATAGTGCTGGTGCTGCCTCGCGCTGGGACCCGCTCCAGGGAGCGCGGCCGCCCTGGCCACAGCGGCAGGGTTTGGTCTGTGACACGGCGCAGGGCTGAGCGGCCTGTAGGCAGACTTGGCCTGCTCACAGATACCTTCTGAGAAGRTTCTTTGTACCTTCTCAATGATCTAGGTGCCCCCTTGAGCTYCTAGAACTTAAGGTATGGCGCGTTAGTATGGAACTTTGGTGAGAAACGATCAGTCATAGCTTATGTGCCAAAATGCAGAACTAGTGTGAGAAGTAGCAGCTCTTAAATGCTCTAATTCCAGGATATCCACATTCTTTAACACCTGCAGTGTCACTGAAGCACGTTTCTGGCATTCTGGCATTCTCAGGATTTAAAGGACAGATGACCATGAACTAACTGTTTTTTTTTCACCTTGCCTTTTTTTTAGTGCATGCAAGAAATGGGAAATACCAAGGCCAGATTGCTCTATGAAGCTAATCTACCGGAGAACTTCCGAAGACCTCAAACAGATCAGTATCCTTTTTTGGTATAGTTCTCATATTTAAATGACTTGGATGTAGTTTAAATGTTATGACTGCTTCAAGAAACTGCTTTGTTTGGCAAATTGTATTATTAATCGTTTCATTGATACAGTTATGTAAGTCTTGGGGAATAACAGCAGAAGTTGGAAATGGTTCAGAAAAGTTGTAAATGACTTCAGCTGTAGCAAATATACTTTGTAATGAGATTTTTTGCAAACCCCATTTATTTTTACTATCCAAAAAAAGGTGACTTCACCAATTCTGTAGGTGTAGGAATTTGGAGCCATACCAGAGAACCCTTGAATATCCTGTCTTTATCTTGAATAACTGCCAGCCTGAGTTAGAGGCATTGGAACAGGAAATAATGAGTTGAATGTTAAAACAATATTGGCATTTGGGCTTTATTGAAACGAAGCAGGAGTTTCCACCTCTTGGTTTTACGTGTTCTCTAGTGTCTGGGCTCTAGGTATAAGTGCTCTATGAACTGTGAGAGTTCAGATGATTAGCAGGGAGTATCCAAGACAACCCAGGCTGTCTGGTAGTTGACATTTGTGCTGGAGTTTGTGTAATCGCTGCTTTGTACCTGGAAGGGGAGGGCTGGAGGACAAAGTGTCCTCTGCTGATGAAGGACTTTCCTCAGGAATCACCTCTCGTACGTGCTACGGCCCACGAGTCAGACACAGTGGCATTCATGTAGGTTGAGGGGAGCCCCTTTTCAGTGACCAGACTGCTGGTGACATTCCGTTCGTGTGACTCTGCTGGGCTCTTAACTGCAGGGAGGTCTTCAGGCTCTCACAGCTGAGACAGCGGAGCCTTTTCCTGACTCCAATGGAGATGGAGCCTATGGAGGCTGATAAACTGACTTCCTCGTAACTGCATCTGAGTTGTCTCCTTCCAAATCCAAAAGTGATCCTGGCTCTCCTGTTTATCGGATAATATGCTTGATGTGTTACATGTAGATGATCTTTTGGAATGCCAGGCTATTCCTTATGCAAGGCACTACAGAAAAACGATATTTCTTGCTATTCTGGTAGCTTTGAATTCAAGAAAAGATAGGCATAAGAACCAGAATAACTGGAGCTGGATAGTACTGCATTATTTAGGCTATCATAGAAAGTTTTATTGTAGGCATATTTGGAAGTTGGTCCTTAAGTTGCATRTTTTGTGCTTGCTGCAGTTAACTTGCATTCACTGTTACTACTGCAGGAGAAGCAACAAGGCTTTACTTGAAGCTTTTGTTGTTAAGGTAAGACCCACAATCTCAAGCTCTCTTGCTCAGTGGATCTGATGAATAGCTGAGATGATCAGCATCAGGCTTATTTTGGATTTTCAAAATAATCCTGTTTCTGACCCTGTATATCTTGAGATAATTATATAGGCTCTTGAACATAGAAATAGTTCTCTATTTCTAAATGCTACCTTGATATATTCAATATATTTCACGTCTTCCCTTTAAATTAAAGGTAGTGCCAGATGACAGCGTGCCAGCATTTTCTGTYTGAATTTTCAGTTCTCCCTCACCTTTGGCAGCCACTTGGCTAGCGGTGCAGGTGACTTGCTGCTGGGGTACAGGCTGCTTTGCCTTTTCCTTTTTGCTTGACCTTTGTTTGTGTCAATGTAAAGTACTGCTGTGTCTCCAGGCTGCTCTGACAGTGAATGCTGTCAAGATTCTTCATATCCTTCTGGGTGAGCTATGAAAGCATATAGCTGTGTAGTGATCSTAGTTGTGTATACTGTCCTGTATTCGTGTTTAACTTCCTGTAGCGCTATGATAATGGTGTTGCTGCTTCTTAGGTGGCAGAATAGAGGCAGAGGATCCCGTGTGGGACCTGCCAGCAACTTCCTTCTGGTCTCCTGCCTCTCTGCTGCTGCTTAACCGCAGGAGGGACCTTCCTAGCATTTCTCATTATTCCATTGCACTTGGCAAGATGTTCTGGCCTAAAAGCTGGCTTTGAGGGTTATCTAGGTGGGCTTGTGTGTCAGCATTAGCTTTCTGATCTCTGCTTTCTCATTCTCACCATATTAATTTCCTTCTTTCTTTTAACCTCTGCTTCTGCAATACATAGTTTCAAGAGAGTTTTCCAGATTCCAGGGTAGCCCTGTTTTTTGCAGCAGAGACTTCAGCCCTACATAAGCCCAGCTGCCAAGCATATGTGTTCTTGGGTTTTACTTGAAGGCCTTGGGTCCTGCTCTTGGTGCTTCAGCTCCCTAGGAATGAATCCCCATCACAGAATGGGCCGTTGCAGTGATTATTTTTTCCTTGTAGGGGACTTTTGCCTGTTGTTCATTCCTTCTGTTTTTATTTATTTATTTTTTCTAAGCTCAAAATGGATGAGTTGGGTAAGATAGGTCATGTCTCATGGGACAGTTACATAAACAGATTTAAAGCCAAATACGATTGCTGAGGATACAATTCGATGTGCAGACTGAAAGAACTGAGTGAGCTGAGAGTCCTCTGAGCTCAGTGTTAATTTAAGAGCTAGTATGTGGAAATAAGGAACCCTTGCCTTAATTGAACAAAATTGATATGGGAGTTAGAGATGCAAAGACTCAGAGCTTCCGCAGTTGCAGTTTTGCTTTCTGGACATATAATCTTATTGCAACAACATTCACATTGCTTAGGAAGAGCTGCTTTAGGTACTTACAAAACAAGCTGAGATAAGAGTTGAAGAAAACACAACCAGCATCCTTTCTGTGCTTGAGCTGGTGACTCCTCAGGTCTCAGCTGCTGCATCACTATTTTTGCTAAATTTCCGCCTTTCCTTCAGTATCTTTTCATTAGCTTTGCTTTGGTTTTCTTTCCTTCCCACAGAGATGTTTATTGTCATAAGTCATTCATGAGCATCTTTTGTTGAGCTTAGAAAACGGTCTAGAAACAGCTTTTGATGCATGGCATAAGTGCTGCAAATCAGATAACAGCTACATAAATATCACGTTTTTTCCTGGAAAGACTGTAATCTTTGCAAGATATCATGGCAGGCTGTACTTTAATTATTTACTGTAAGTATATGATATATCTGAGTACCTTTGCAAGTATTTACACCACTGCAGCCCTGCTGCTTATAAATATTACATTAAAATATCCTGTGGAATACCAAAATGCTTGTAGTGCCTATTTCTCATACTGTGTCATTAACAGATTCGGTTGTGAATACTTTTTTTCCTGTAATAAACAAATCCTTTTTGGACAAAACAACAGTTTTTTGTGCAGTGAGAGTTTTATGTTCTGGTGCTTTAAAACTACAGAATGTAATGGAACGAGCATCTGATGCAATTTAACTAGAAAAGTGGACGAGTTATTCAGATTAATGTTGCTGTTTAACTAAGTGCCTGTTTTCCTTAAACAAGTTTTTTTTCCAGAGCTGTTGAATTTTTCATCAGGGATAAATATGAAAAGAAGAAGTATTACGATAAAAATGCAATTAATGCCTTCAATGTAAGTAAGCAATTTTATTAATAATTCTTATTTATGAGCTATATAAGAGAAATGCAGAGAACATTTGGATATAATTTTGTAACAGAGCTACTATATTTAGGCATATTAAAATTTACTTTATCAATAGACAACTTATGGGCACACAGGTTTTTTTTGATTGTCTTCTGAAATCTATTTCCGGATTCTGGAAGGTCAGTGAACTTTGTGTATTAGATGTATAAGATTAAAGCATCCAGCAAGTAGCTTGCTTCAAGCCTTTTGTGTGTGGGGTTTTGCTCTTTCAGTGATGTTATTTTTTAACAACATACTTGATTGCAATTTCTTTCTGAATATCTTTTCCTGTGGTAGAAGAATCAAATAGCTATTTGATTCTTGAGACTTTTTCTTCACTCTTAAGAAAATCTTGAGAAAACTTAAGGTATCTTGAGACCCTCTTAGGAGGGTCTTGTTGCTCCACTGGTTTCKAGAATGGTGCTCCTATTAATACTTATTAAAATATGAATGATAAAATACTCATCTTTGCTGAAGTTCATAACTGCTYGAGTTTTTATGGTAAAGTTATTTTGGCCTCTGTGGTGGGGCTCATATAATTTTTATTTGTATATATGTATATGCGTATATGTGTGTTTAAACACTTATGTTTCTATACCTGCAGCACTGAAAATCAGCCTGCCATGTAGGTGCAGCACCCATGTGATGAGCAGGCAGTGAACTTGGGCAGGGACATGGATGCCAGTCTGGGAGGAAGGAGTGAGAATTCCTGTCTCCTTTGGCAGAGCTGCGAATGGCTCTTGGAACTCTCCTGTGCTTTTAGGACAGAGCCCAGCTGGAAGCTTGGGAAGTGCAGAGCAGTTCCCTAGCTTCTAGCTCAGCAGAGCTGGAGAGAGCTAGAGGGGAGGCTGCTCACTCAGGAGGTGAAGTACTAGGAGTTGTGGTTTGAACTGTGGTGTTAGCGACCCTTGTTGGTGTTAATTATCCTCTTTGATGTTGAACTAACGGTTGACAATTATGTCTCTTTAAGCTGAAAGTATCACAGGATCATTCTAAACAGAGGACACACGTGTTTGATTTAGTAGAGTACACTGCTGCTTTAAAATATTTGAAAGACTAATCAGATTTTGCTTATCCTATTTTGAACTAACGTCAGTTGCTCGCCTCTCGTGGGACCAAGAGCTCAGCAGTGCTGAGGGGAGCCTCTTGCTGCTGCTCGCTGGGTACCGGCCTTTAGCTTCTTCAGCGTGGGCTTTTGCGCCCGTGCCCGCCCAGAGGTGCATCGGCTGCCTGGAGAGACTGGAGCCAAATATGCCCTGTTAGGAAATAATGTTAACGCCAGATGAGTCATGTACTTGCACCTTCATCTCTTTCTCTTCAGGGTTGAGGTACTCGGATCTGTTGGGGGGAAATGATCTATAACAAAATTCCAGATGCACCCGTGACCGGAGAGATTGAGGTGGTGTAGCTGGGAGGTAATTCCCTCTTGTAGTCTTGTATCACTTGCTCCAAAGTATTGGCAGCAGCGCAGCAGCTCATAGCATGATAGTTTTATCAGCTGAATTTCTTCACGGTTGTCTGTCAGTGCAACTTGAGTGTATTCCGTCAGCTGGAGCCCTGAAATCTAAGTTAGGATCCAGTTTTTGTTCCGCTGGYCAGAATTGTTGCATCTTATTCCTATTGTGACGATGTGCTAATGGTGTGAGTGTATTTCTCTGACCACCCTGTTGTAAATAGGAAGCTTGAAATTGGACAGACACAGACTGTGATGAGAAAATTAGCTAGTGCAGAGACCCGTACTGTGACCAAGCATAACAGACCAAGAAGAGGCAAATATGGAAATTTTAATGACTTCTTCATGGTTCACCGAAAAGCAATGCAGAGTAAAGCTTTGGGCAACAAACAGAAGTATTTTCAGTTATTTAGTTGTATTCCAAATGGGATAATGCATTTAAATAGGAATCAAATATACATTAGAAAAAAAAAAAGAGCATAATCTGAAGGAGGCATGACTTGAGAAATGATCACCTGCACTGTTAACCTGCACTCCCTTCAGGCTTCCCTAAGCCATTGCTTTGGGAAGGTGCTGATTCCATAGCAATTCTCAGGACCAAACACACAGTTTGAGGTGCTCAGCTCTTACAAATGGTTATCAGTAACTCGTGCGACTGTTTCGTGCCAAATCCTGCGCCTCGTTCCTTCCTCTTGTTCTCCTGGCCAGTCTGAGCACAAGCTGGTGACTTGTCTGCAGTGAGACCTGGGAAATGGGCCCTGTTGAACCATTCCTTGTACTGGGAGCTGTGCTGGAACCAGGGCCAATTCTTATCCACAAACAGGGGCCTTCGCCTTGGGAATGGTGGCCTGAAACACAGCATGAGTGACAGTGCCTGCAGGTCAAGTAGAGGTGCCTGGGTCTGGGTCAGGTTGGAAATGAGACCGGATGGAAATGCCGGATGGGACATTGTCAGACCGTTCACACTGAGCTCCTTTGGCCTTGGTAGGCTTTGTGAAACACAAAAAGCAGGATTCACTCCAGAATTCATTCCAGGCAATGTGCCTGGAAAAAAAAACCAACAAAGTCTGGGGGGAAACCTCTCAAAAGTGACGCATTCACTGTGTATACCCACACAGAAAATAAATCTGAAATCAGCCTGACAGTTCAAGGGATAAATTCATGTGGAAGTATTTTTATAAATTTGATTTTTTTAAGGTATTAGTAGGAATAACAGCCTGTTTCTAAGAATTACATCTCCTGAACTGTTACATATATGCATGTTGCTTTGTAATTAAACAGTATGGACAAATGTATAAAARGGCTCTGATTGAGCTAATACTTCCAGATATTTTCAATGAATGGAAGTATCAGCTTTTACATCCTTTTGATTTTATTTTTCCCCTTCAGTTGCCATTGAATTTGCAGTATTTGCCTTTATYCTGACCAATGCAGAGGAAAGGATTGTGAATAAATTAACTTGGCAGGTGAGGCAAACTGGATTTTGCTGCATGGCATGGAAATGTTTTCAGGTAGATTGGCTGAATTTGACATTGTAACGCAGCGTGGATTCTGTGTATTTGTCCTGGTGTATTGGGATTCGGAGGCTCCCTTTCAGGAAGGACTCTGCACCTTTGGAGTTCTCAATGCGTCAGATACCAGGTATGGTCAACAAGTCTGGAACGAGGTAATGATTCCTTTTAAGTCACAAGTGGCCAAATTTAAATGAAGTTGTGGCAACAGGAGTGTCCCTTTCAAAGTTAAGGTATAGTTCAGGGACRCGTAGTCCTCAGGGAGAAAAGCCTTTAAGGCCGGACTGCTTTGTGCTCACAGGAGCTGCTATTTTKCAGTCAGCCCAAAGAATGGAAACTTCTCGGGAACGAGACGCATGTCACTTCCAAAAACTGATCCACTTACGAGCTGCAAGTGCTGGAGACACTTGTAGGCTCCTGGCATTATGGCTACACCTGTATAGCTCACCTGTAGGGAATCACATCTTTCCTATGGGAAGTGCATTTCGTGGAAGTAGCGTATCGTGTGACGGACTCGACAGGGAGACTGCTCAAGCCACTGCCTATTTTTATTTATTTTTCCACATTGGGAATCACACGCTTTTTTTCAGGGCACCGTTCCCCGTCCTGTTGTGGTGACACCGCAGTTGTCAAGATTTCTGAAAACCAATTGCTTAAACCCAAACCAACTGCRTAAACCCAAAGTTCTCCTGATTTGGCCAAGCAGCCTCCAGTTTGGCTTTGAGAAGAATTTTAGAATAAGAATTTACAATTCTGAAACATGAAGGTTTCCCTTTTTTAATACTGTTAACAAATAGGTAAGTTTTAAGAGTTGAGAAGCAATTTGAGTAAGAAGCAATCAAAGTTGTCTGTCTAGGATTTGGGGATATATGTGTATTTCCTGGAGTGAATTGAAAGCCAGTGTGGCCTCCCAGTCTTCAGAAAGGGCAAGAGGRAGGAGCTGGGCAACTACAGGCTGGTCAGCCTCACCTCCGGCCCTGGAAAGGTGATGGAGCAGCTCATCCTAGAGAGCGTCTCTAGGCATATGAAGGAAAAGGAGGTGATCAGGGGTAGTCAGCATGGATTCACCAAGGGGAAGTCATGTCTGACGAACCTAATAGTCTTCTAGGATGGGATGACTGACCGGCTGGACGAGGAGAGAGCCGTGGAGGTTGTCGATCRTGACTTCAGCAAGGCTTTCGACACCGTCTCCCATGATATCCTCATGGGAAAGCTCCGGGAGAGTGGTCTAGACGAGTGCACAGTGTGGTGGATCGAGGGCTGGCTGGATGGCAGAGCTCAGAGGGTGGTGATAAATGGGGCCGAGTCCAGTTGGAGGCCTGTGGCCAGTGGTGTCCCCCAGGGGTCAGTACTGGGCCCAGTGCTGTTCAACTTGTTTATCAATGACCTGGACGAGGGCACGGAATGCACCCTGAGCAAGTTTGCAGATGGCACCAAGCTGGGTGGAGTGGCCGACACTCCAGAGGGCTGTGCTGCCATCCAGAGGGACCTGGACAGGCTGGAGAGTTGGGCAGAGAGGAACCTCATGAGGTTCAATAAGGACAAGTCCAGGGTCCTGCACCTGGGGAGGAATAACCCCAGGCATCAGTACAGATTAGGGGTCGACCTGCTGGAAAGCAGCTCCACGGAGACGGACCTGGGAGTCCTGGTTGACACCAAGTTAACCATGAGTGAGCAGTGTGCCCTCGTGGCCAAGAAGGCCAATGGGATCCTGGCCTGCATCAGGAGGAGCGTTGCCAGCAGGTCAAGGGAGGTGATCCTGCCCCTCTGCTCAGCTCTGGTGAGGCCGCACCTGGAGTACTGTGTGCAGTTCTGGGCACCCCAGTATAGGAGGGATGTGGAGCTTCTCGAGAGGGTCCAGAGAAGGGCAACAGAGATGACTTAAGGGACTGGAACATCTCTCGTATGAGGAGAGGCTGAGTGAGCTGGGCCTGTTTTCTCTGGAGAAGAGACGGCTGAGAGGGGATTTGATTAACATGTACAAA